TGAAGCAAATCACAAATACCTTAAAAAACCCGGATATCCGATCCGCGCCCACCCCTACCGAACATCACGTTTCTTAAACAAGTATGAACTCTGATTTCTAGAGTTTTCTTCCATTTGGAGGTCAACTTACGCTTTTATCATTACTATGATCTTTCATTTCACCACATTATTGCTAGGGTTGCAATTTTGCTCTCACATTTATTTAATTATCACCTCACCACCACTAGTAATTTACTGTTTTCTTTTTAACAAAAGGTGATAACTCGTTCGTTTAAACATTAGATAATAATAATAATCAAAAACTTTGTGTTCAGGTTCAAGATCGATGGTATTGTGCATGTATAGATAACGGACGTTATATTTTATTCTATTCAAAAGTTATAAACAGAACACAACTAGTGTTAATTTGATTAAATATTTTTTGAGCATAAACTGAGTTAGCTAGTTAGAAGTGTTGATCTCAAGTACAAATGCGACTGTATATATCATTAAAGTTATGCACTAAACGAAGTACATCAACAACAACAACAAATGAGGTCATCACTGATATGATCACATATATGTAACGTGTTACATATCATACATACGCAACATTTGTCCAATTTGACCATACAAACTTATAATGGATTAAATAGATGAAAAAGAAAAAAGAAGAAACAAAAACAATATTGATTGGCCTAGTTCGAAAAGGACATCTCCTTATCGTGTGTGCGGTTGTTTGGCAATGCGTCTGAATCTCTCTATGCACAATACGTTACGAATATAACAAAGTCTTATAGAAAGAGAGACTGCCGATAGTGTTTTTGATGTAATTATTCAAGATATAGTCGTCAAGCATGATATAAAATCGCCATCTCAAACTATTTGTCTTGTACAAATTTTAAACTGAAAACCCTAACAAATATTAGCACGAAAAAAAAAACAAAAACATCTAGAGTGTTCGGTTGGGTCGTCAAGTTAAAAGTAGAATATTTGGAAGTATATGAAGTATATTGTCTCCCACTTATACAATAAAGTATGAAACATGGATGCATGAAGGGTAGACTTCCATAATGCTTGTGGTAGGGTCTTTTCATTCATCATCTTGTCTCACTTGCTTTTCTTTTCCAGCTCTCATTTTAATTACAGCCAATGTTTTATAACTCTAAAAATAATTTCGTATCCAGGAAAATTTTGGAGCCTCAGGATTGTAATGATGTCTCATATATAGTTTGACTAGGCAAAAAATTCAGCAAAACGCGCGAATCATTACAACTAATTGATTAAGTAAACTTTTGTAAGGAAATGATTCAGACACAAGGACCGACCAATGAATGGATATGATCCATCCTTGTAAAGAAAAGCTTTTATGTATGATGACACTCGGGTGAAGCAAAAGAAAACTAGTTTGCACTGTGGTGATGAAAGCTGGAGTAGACGAGTGTTTTAAAGGCTAAACTTATTGGGTTCATAAGCCTAATGGGCTTATGTAAGAAGGTAGGAAATGATATTATATTGCTATAATGGGCCGAGCTGTGTTGACCCATAAAAACTGATCTAAGTATGATTTTATTTCTGCGTCCCTCAAAAAGAGTATCAAATCGTGAAAGCGTTGGTAGATCTCTGCGCGGCGTTGGCTTTTCGGTACGTTTGTTCCTTTCTGCTCTATCTCACAGATTCGTCGATTAGAATATCTCTGCGGCGATCTGTATCCGTGCGTTGTTTATGGCTCTATCATTTTCAGATCTGATGTGTTTCCTTTTGATTAGTAATGCTGGATCTGTATCTTCCAATATGCAAATTTGATAGTTAGTTAGGTTTTTCTAGATGGAATTTTAGATATTAAGATTAGGTTTGATTTGATTCATACAGAATGAGATCCGATGCGATTGGAATTGATAGCTGAGATGAGATGATTCCTGAATTGCGTTTTTTTTGTTTGTTTCGTGTGAATAGGTTTGGATTAAAAAAGAAAAGAAAAGATGGGGCTATCATTTGGGAAGCTGTTCAGCAGACTGTTTGCGAAGAAAGAGATGCGTATTCTGATGGTTGGTCTCGATGCTGCTGGTAAGACCACCATCCTCTACAAGCTCAAGCTTGGTGAGATCGTCACCACCATTCCTACCATTGGTAAGCAAGTAACAAACTTCTTCCTATTGGTAATGTTGTTGTTAAAATGTTTTGTATGAGAAGCTGACAAGACAATTTTTGTTTGTTTTTGCAGGTTTCAATGTTGAGACTGTGGAATACAAGAACATTAGCTTTACCGTCTGGGATGTCGGGGGTCAGGACAAGGTGTATCTTCTCACTCACTTGATAGTATTCTATTTCCTAGTACAGTTTCTGCAATTGTTGTTTGCTTATTAGGTTCAGTGTTGGTGAATTTCATACATGTACCAATACTCTACATTTGATAAGCTAAATCAAAATCAGCCTCAACTTCGACCATACTTTGATTCCTTCTCAAAGAAAATGTCGTTTTCTTTGGCTGACATTTATTATTGGACTTATGTTACTTCGTTTTTGACTTCTGTTCGTAGAATTTTTTACTAATTATTTCTTTCTTGCTCATATAGATCCGTCCATTGTGGAGGCACTACTTCCAGAACACGCAGGGACTTATCTTTGTTGTGGACAGCAACGATCGTGATCGTGTTGTTGAAGCCAGGGACGAGCTTCACAGGATGCTCAACGAGGTACTATTTATTGATAAGAATCCTCAAATTCCCTATGCTTCACGATTTTTATTCACCATTTTTTGTTTTTTGTTTTTAACTTTGTGTTGCTTTATTTTGTTTGTGGCAGGATGAATTGAGGGATGCAGTTCTGCTTGTCTTTGCTAACAAGCAAGATCTTCCCAATGCAATGAACGCTGCTGAGATTACTGACAAGCTTGGCCTCCACTCTCTCCGCCAACGTCACTGGTGAGCATAAACACACACATACACAAATCTTAGCTGTGTCCATCGAAGTCCACATCCAGACATATGAGTTGATATGTGATCGTTGTAATGACAGGTACATTCAGAGCACATGTGCCACCTCTGGAGAAGGACTCTACGAGGGACTTGACTGGCTCTCCAACAACATCGCAAACAAGGTACTTAACTATTATGCTCCCTTTCTACTCCTATTCTGATATAATCATTTCTGGGAGTCTGAGACAAACTTTCAACGCGTGATGTGCAGGCGTAGAAAAAGAGTTAGCACGATTCTTCTTTGCTTGTTTTGTTTTACACATCGAGGTAAGGGGTCTATTTCTCTAGCACTATAAAAACGAAACCGAGTTTTATTTTGTCATACATTCTTCTTCGTCTGTAATCCTAAACTCTACATCCTTTTATAAGTCGGTACTTATTTTCAATAAATCATAAGCCTTTTTTGTTATATTTTCTTCCTAAAGTGAGTACATCCTTCTTCCATGATTCGAACAAAACTAATGCAGGCTCCTTTTTGAGCTTTAGAGTATATATAAGGCGCATCTCTTCTGTCCGATAACCAATATCGTTATTGATAATTTGAACTTTGAAATATACAAAAATTCATCACAACACACTCGAAAATTAAAAAAAAAAAAAAAAAAGCACACGTCAACCTCAAAAGCACATGAAACCAGAGACAGCATGTGTGGTTGTCGATACAACACAACTCTCATAATCCACCTGCTGCTCCGCAGAAACCGAATCTACCTCACCGACAATTTTTGACATTCAAGCAGCGGACGGTGCAGTCACATACTTGACCCGTCCAGCTTCACTAAGAGCGTTGATGAATGGCTTCAGATTCACTAGATCAGCCTCTCTCTCGAACTCTGCTTCTGATTTCTTGTAGTCCAAGGAATCATCCTTGTAAATCTCCCACCATTTGTTCACTAACATTTTGATGTCTTCTCTCTCCATATTCGCCTCCTTCCCTGTGTATCTCCATGGCTTCGAACCCTGCAGATAGAAAAGTAACAACAAGGGTATGTTAGAACTCAATAACAACCACTTGTCAAACAAAAAAAAGCTTGGATGTAAAGAAACTCACAGCTGCACAGTAGTGAACCACCTTGACTTTATCGAGCTCCACATTTTCTGGGTGACGCCATAGCATCGCTAGGACAAGGTTGTAAACCAAAGGAATCGGCTTGTATATTTTCTTGAAATACATGTTCAGAAAATCCTGCACCACCATCAAATCCACAGCTTAAAACAAACCAATAAAAACAGAACAGAACCAGTCAGAGATCACTTAGCATTTTTCTTACCTGTTCAGCGAAAGGAGTAGGGGGAGTGACCTTAAGTGTTCTTAGCAGATCCTCGTAAGTATCAAGGCCTGGTTCGAACACGAACATCCCCGCATTGAAGTAAAGAGCCGGTGGCTCTCCAAGCTCGGCCTTTGGCCACTGGACTTTCTCAGGGCACTGTTGGCAGTATCCAATCTTGTATTGCGGCGTGTGGCTCCATGTTTTCTCACAGAAACAGTCCATCACCGCATAGAAATAGCCATCAGGGAGATCAAACAAGTGATCGATGTTATCATAAACCTGAATGTCTCCATCCAAGTATATCATTTTACTATACTCCACAAACTACACACAAAAAAACAGAGCATTAACCATATTTTCATAAGTTAGTTATTTTTTTAAAACTAACACACTAAACGACGGCGTTTTATACGTACCTTCCAGATACGGAGTTTGGAGTAGTTGATGACGTAATAAGCCATGGCAAACTGAGTTTGGTTCTCAGGTGGGTAAACCGGTTCGATCTCACGGACGATACAACCTTGTTCCACAAGTATACGACGGTGCTCTTCTGGAACGTCTGGTAATATCGCCACGACGAGTGGATACGCTGACTTGACTTTTCTTAGTCCTTTGGCTAAACCTACGACTCCTTTCACGTAGTCACCGTTTCCGGCGAGGAATGTCACGTAGGCTCGATCGCTGTGGCCTGGCGGTGACGGTTTTGTTATCATCACGGAGGATTTGGCGGTGTTGGTTTGTGTAAGCTCCGGAGCCATGTGAGAAGCACGTGATGTTTGGAGGATTTAGAGAAGTGTGATGAGACCAGAGGTTTCTTGTTTATGTTTGTTGTGTTGTGTTTAGTGATGATGTTGTGGTGTCTCAGCGAGGATTATTATAGGCGAGAGGTTTAGTTGTTATCATGAAAATCTGGAACATACACGTGTAAATGTAAGATCAGACGGTGGCGATTGGCCTTTGGTGAAAGTTCTGGAGTGTGACCTAACGGGAAAATTTAAAACTATAACACGGAAAACGCTAGAAGCAGCTACGGTGTTGTGAGAAATAGAAAGAAGAATATTCTGTTATTCCCTGCTTCTAAGTTCATCGTACATTTCCCTACTCCTCTACTTATTTTAATTCCTTCATTTCAGTGAAAATTACTCATTCATGAGTTTATTAAAAACTTGATCCACACATTAGCACAGGCTTTACAACACTCAAAATCACACGCACGAGACTAAGGTTGTTCTTTCTCAATCTATTACCACCACATCCACACCATACTCGAGTGTTCCAAACCATGTTCCATCTTTAATCCCAAGTTTTGATAACATCATCTAATAACTCGTATATTCTTTAGTTCACCTGATCTTCAACTACATATACATTATATTGACTTACTAAATTTATATGGTACTTGACATCTCTCTTCCTTCTTTCGAATGAATGACTGAAGAAAACTACTATTTGTGAACTAGAAAATGACGTTACATAACTTTCATATGCTTAATTTCCCATTATTATTTTTTATACTACTTTACGAGAAATAATTGATATGAAAGTTACAAAGAGGCAAAATAACCATGTGAAAAATGGAGACTTCTGATGAAAACGATATCTCTGACTAGATACACACCGCATCAATTTTTTATCTGGGTGAGGAGTAACCGTGAGATATACGCGCCATTTATTTTGAGCCCATCATACCTTAATGGGCCATAAAACTAATTTCATGGTGTGTAGAGAATTCTTAGTGGGCTCTACCCGAACGACCTGATTGCAATCTTTGATTATGTTTTGGGGTTGTTGATTTTCCTTTCTAGATACTTTGTAGATGCCAAGGAGCAGACTCAACCCATCCCTATCTGCAACAATACACTAGGCATTCACTGTGGTCTAGAGGCTTAAACCCCATACGTTGTGATCTTTAAAACCATATGTGCATTTGACTCTGAAGTCCGAACGTGTTGTGTGTGTTGCAATATTTGACAAAACATAATAGAATAATAATGAGAATGGGTCTCTTACGATGTCTTTTGTATTTCCTGCTAAAAGTGTCGGTTGGGGTTGGACTTCTTAACCTTAATCAACGCCGGTCATCTTTGATTTGGGTTCCTTAGTATTCATTTGTTTCCATTATTGTATATGCGTATGTTTTACTTTTACCTTCTTTTATTTTTTTTTCTTAAGAAAGCTTCGACCGTTGTTGCTTTTGTGAGATTTATATATTCCGACATATTAAAGTCAACTCCCATAGTGTCCGAGTTTAGGCAACATGCACTGCATTTACTTCCAAATTTGATTTTCTTTTTTAATCTTATTGCGGTTAATGGAATAACTTTTGACCTTGTTACACTGCAAATGGTAGACTTCATACAAATTACTCCTTTTATTTACTTACTTTATAGAGCTCCATATATATAAATTGTTTGACTTATTCACACACATCTTTCTGTAACTAAAATAACGGTCACGGAACTAAATTTGAACATATTAGTAAAGTATTAAACCAAATGATTTCATGCCTACACATATATTTTATAAAATGTAAACAAAAACAGAATAACGGATACATGTATAAATTATGTAGTTAAACAATAGATTTCATGAACCAGTGTAGTCAGTATCAATTTTTTCTGCGCTAGTATATAATAACATTACATGTATATATTGTGTAACAATAGGACTTTCGACGTGAATCTATTTTTACCAAAGTCAGGATGCTCAATATAATCAATTGGCTGATCAGTCTATAGTCTATAGATTCTATACTGATGGATTAGTTCTTATAACAATAACGTGGAGTTCTTTTGAGTTCGAAGTTTTTGATGATCGGATGCCTTTAGATGTTCCCAAAAAAAAAAAAGGGATGTCCCTTTAGAGGGAATATCATACCTTTAAGCAAAGACAATACGATACATTGAATCAAAAAGAAAAGAAAATGTATCTGCAAGACCATATATGAAAACCCTTTATCGAAAAATAAAAAAAAAAGTTTTGAGCGTTGACGAGAAAGACTTGTATAGATTCTAAAATATGGATTATCTATGGTCATGTCTTCTGAGTTTTGAACCACGTGCTTAAATTTAAGTTTAAAGTTTCGAATCCTTATTAGAGGGTTCTCCTCTGCGTCATCATCTTTACGTCATCGCTACTACGCCATGCACCGATGCACGAGCACACGATCTATATTAGAGGCTTATAATAAACAGTGTTACAGTTTATAAACGTATAGAAATTCAGAGAATATACCATTTTCGGGATCAGATGTAACACGAGTCCATGACCTGAAAATGAATCCATCAATAGGAGATTAGAAAGAAAAAAAACATTTAAACGTTTATTAGCCATCTTACACTCTAGAGACAAAACATTAAAATGTTCATTCCATCTTAACTTTGATTGTTTAATTCAGTTTTTGGATTGACTTGTCTAATAGAGATATTTGTTGGAGGCCTATGTGTTAAGTCGCATCAAATTGGAATTGTAAATAACCAGGTGACAATAAAAGAGGCTTTGCATATGAATATGACAGAATTTCGAGCGTGTAAGTTAAAAAGATTGTGGGTTCTACTTTTGGTACTTCTGATGATTTTGATAGATCGTAAAGGTCTTTTTATGTTGATTGTTTATCATTTTTTTTCTTCTGGTTTTGATTTATAATTTTTGTTGGTTATGTGTTTTCTATTAATTATTCTAGCTAAGTTTTTTTTGTTTTTAGAGAAAGGGCTATTCTAACTAAGTTCTATGAGCGTTATTAAACTTTTTCACTGTTTTAAACACGCTAATCAAAACTTGAACGGTGAATCAATCACAATATAAAAGATCTTAAAACCCATTTATTTATTTTTTGAAAGAAGAAAAACCCATTTCTTAATTTTTTCATATTTCTTTTGTTGTATTCATATATTTAAATCTCCTTTGTTTACATTTTTAGCACGAACAATTCAGCACATGCCGTTTCTAAAGGAGCTATGCTTGATTCTGTTTTTTTTTTTAACAACACTTGATTCTGTTGTTTAGGTCTTAGTTTATCTAATGGATCGGTAGTTCAAAAAAGTAGTAGTTTCATTCAAGCAAATACAAAACAGGATTTTTGTTTGACTCTTCATTATTTAAAACTTCGTAGTTGAAATAAACATAAAATATTCTTTGAGCAAATAAACCAAATATAAATAGACACAACCGACCGATCTTTTTCAAGTCATTAGGAAAAAGTTATACTATTTTGTTCATCAGTTTCTTTGCGCTGTCATGTAATCAAATATCCAATCGATGTAACAATTCACTGAATCGGGTGTTAAAAACATTTGTTTTCTTCACTGAAGCTAAAGTTTAAGATACTGCTACAAACCAAATCTAACCTATATTCGAATCAACTAGACACGTAATCACCTGCTGTTTTTTTTGTCCTAAGCTGAACACTAGAAGCAGACAAGTGTCTCATAAAGACATCGAAATCTGATTCGCTTCTCAGGTACATACACATAACCGAGAGTGTAGCTTTCCCAATAACTATGGATGCTACTGTTCTTGTATCTCTGTTTACTTGCATTACTTAAACTCCTTTCTTGAATTCATATTTTTAATCTTTTTTCAACCTTCCTTTAACCGAGTGGATCACTCTGATATGTATGCATCAGAATGTATAGGCGGATCCTTTTGTCTTTGTATGTTTTAGACTTTAAAATTTAACTCAATATAATGTTTAATTGGTTAGCATATGTTTTGATCATTAGTTGATATGAAATTACTTCTTTTTCTCAGTAGTCGAGATGTCCTTTTGTATATTTTATATTTTTGTGATAAGAATCATTTAAACTATTTATTTGCTACATGTTTTATAATATATGATGGAACTTAACTTGAAAACAATATATTATTAACAGTGAATTAGTGACCTATGGTAATCTTTCCTTCCGCGTGATTCTCGCCGGAAAAATAAGAGATTGCAAGTATTTTTTGTCAAAGGGTTTTCTTAAGTTTTTTTCTCTGAGGACAAATATTAATTGCAAGTATCATTTATTATTCTTAGTGCGAAATTTAACCCAAAAAAATCCAATTATTACATTTTTCTCTTAGTAACCCCCCCCCCCCCCAAAAAAAAAAAAGATTATTGCAAGTATTTTTCTCTTAGTAACTTTTACGTTGTTTCATTATTAATTCCAACGTACAATAAAGTTTTGTTGAAAAGAACTCATAAAAGTCTTACCGTTTGTGTAAAATATAGCCAATTAACTCTAAAATATAAGCGTAGAAGTCATGGTGATAGATACAAGGAAGACGTCTCTTTGACTACTCTTCAACCATAAAACATAATCTTAATGCGCTAAAAATTCAAAAGCAAAGTCCCTAACTCGCCTAACTCCATTTTTCATTTGACTTTGCTTTAAATGTCAATAGTCCTATGTTATATAGTTACATCCAAATTAAGTTTTGGTTTGTATTATTTAAGTTATAAGTACTACGGTTTACCGAGTAGTTTATTATTATCATTATCTAAATTTAAGAAAACTATAGAATTTCTTTATAGAAAATTAGTATATTATCTGTTCAATAAATATAGTCCGCAAGATTCAAAATAATTTAAATCTATACTATTAAAGCAAAATCCCTCCTATGATTCTGCCCATAGTTTTTGAATTATTTACAAAAATATGCCACTAGCATTTAATTTTAATATAATTATTATTTATTTAAACTAAATAACTAAATTGCTCCTATATTTATGGTAATTAATAATTTCTGATTTTGTGTTTAATAATAATTTATTTTTATGCAATTTATACTTTCTTTTAATTTTAATATCTTATTCTCATGCATAATATCATTTATCGATCAAAAATTAAATATTATTATTTACTATGTCATAATATGGATATACCAATTCAATTTTTTTAAAATAAATTACCTTTTAGATATTTAATAAGTAAAAATGTAAAGTAATCATAGGTTATTAATAATGAAAAACAGATATTGTTATATAAATATTTTTCTTCTATTACCATTGTTTCATTTTTCAAATAAAAATAAATTCATTAAATTCTAAGAAATTACAAAAAATCAATTTTCTTTAATTTTAAAAGTATGTGTTATTTACTATTTTTTTAAAAAATGTTATCAGTTTTTATGGGACTTTTAGCAGATCTACAAATATTATATTTTGGATTAATAGAGGGTTTTTGCATATTTACCAGTTTTATCAAAATTTTAATTAATAAAATTTCAATAAATCTTACTGGATTATACAAAAATTGTTGGATATATCGGTTCAAATATGGTCTAAATCATATGAAAACGCAAAATATGTGAAAATCAAACAAGATAATAGAACATTTTAATATTAGTAGAACAATTTTTTTTGTGTTAAAATAAAATTTATTAATTCAAATAAATTTTATCAAAAAATATAATAAATCCGCGCTTTGAAAGCGCGGGTCAAAATCTAGTATTCAATTAAAGATATAAATATACATTTATATTCCTACCGTTAATTAATCTAAACTTGATACTTAGAGTTAAGGGGTTAATTTTATAGGTGGAGTTAAAAAATTTAAAAAATAAATAATAGATACAAATTTCAAAATATTTTTTTAAACTAATTTTAAAAATAGTTTAAAAATTCCAAAAGAAAATTTACAAAAAAAAAAAATCTCATAAAATCAATTACAGAAGAAGAAAATTACAAAAACAAATCAAATTTGAAAACATATAATTTGAAGCTATGCAAATTTTGTACTTCTAGCAAGATATAATAGAATCTTGTATCTATTGATAAAATTTACTCGTCATTTCTTATTTAAAGATTTCCTTAGTGATAAAAATCTAAAAATATACGATTTGAGTGATTTGGCCATCTCGGTTTTCATATTCTTTTCAAAATATAAACATAGAACTGTTAACATAAAACTAACTGGAAAAAGCTCATTTTGTTTCCTTCACCTAAAGAAACACATCAATTTCTTTGAGATAGAATTGTAAAATATTGACGTTTTCCCCAGTTATTTTTTTCATGAACAAGGGAGTTACTACCTGGTCAGTGTCCATCCACAATATTCCGGTTTTAAAAAGCTATACAGTTTATTACTGGTCACTGACTATACTCCATAGTCTTCTGGAATAATATCGATCATAAATAAATTACAGAATATTTTGAAGATGTCATCACAGGAATGGAAAGACATGCAAAAAACAGAGATAGGCAAACTTACTGGAGATCAACGTTAATCGATAATTCCACAAAACTGAATCCTATCCTTTAGACTATGGATATATATATAAACACTAACTTGTGAGATTCATCGGACGAACTATAGATTGTGAATTCAGTTAAAAAAACTATAGATTGTGAAAGCACTATATATAATTCCTTTATTAATCTGACCTTCATATAACCAATATATCAATATGAAGAAAATAAAATGGATCACACAACAATATATGACTGATAACTAATTTCGCCCATAGTAACCAGTTATGTTAAACTGGATTATACAAATATATTACGTCTGCGCTAGTGTGTGGTAAAATCTAGAAACTCCATAAAATAGAACTCTTATCAAAGAGAAAGTGAGAGTGCGTGTTACTATTCATCTGAACAAGTCAAAGGGTCAAACCTAAGTATTTTTAATTACACAAAAGTTGACCAAACGAGTCTTAATTATTCATATATTAGTATTCTAAGTATATAGTTGCAAAATTCCACTTTAGAAACAAGAATGAAATAACAATTGAATATCACACTTGTGCCGTGTTGTGGTCACTCTTCATTCTTCTACTTATTTTCAAATATCCTCAATAAAATACTACTTTTTTTCTTTTGACCAATTTTTTTTCTTCGTGTTCCTTGACTATATATATTAACTCACACACAGCTTAATCACTTCAAATCTAATCCACAAAGCCTTTCACACCATCTCATCTCTCTCTCTCTTTCTTTCTCTTTTTCCTTTTTCCTCATTAAAATAAAACAAATGGAAGATTACGAGCGAAACTCAAACTCTCCAGCTCATGAAGAAGATTCTGATGTACGGAAAGGTCCATGGACTGAGGACGAAGATGCTATTCTCGTCAACTTCGTTTCCATCCACGGTGATGCTCGCTGGAACCACATCGCTCGTTCCTCAGGTATCAAACTAATCACCAATCTCTAATATACACACAGTTTACATAGCCATATATATTCACACATACGTACATATATATGTTCAACTATGCAGGACTTAAGAGAACTGGTAAGAGTTGTAGATTAAGATGGCTTAACTATTTGCGTCCAGATGTTAGACGAGGCAACATCACACTTGAAGAACAATTTACGATCCTCAAACTCCATTCTCTATGGGGCAATAGGTATATTACCAAAGATTCACATGTAACGTTCCCATTTACTATATATATACTAATCTATACTATTAAAAGAGAAGGAGTCTAAATAAATCTACTTAAAAAAGTTGTTTGGACCCTTTCATTATACTAACATTTTTTTTATCTTTCCTTATATTTCTCTAACAATATTGTACAATAACATTATATCATATAACTTACCTTATATTTCTCTAACAATAAATTAGTCAATATTCTTATTTATTATACAATA